GCAAAAATGTACTTAAAGATGCAAATTTCCTTCCAAAATGAGTCGAATCGAGGCCAGAGTACCTACTTAAATATTACTTAATGTATTCATGGGTCAAAATGGACACGTGACTCAGTCTTGTTGTGATTGGCTGCAAACTACCCGATCGCGCGATTCACAGGCCAGAAAACAAACACGTTTGTTATTGTAGGTCATCGATCGTGTCGATCGGTTTGTGCCACGATGGCCGCTTTGCGCCCTCAATTTGGCTAGCCCAGACTACCTGATGGGCCCGACCCGACCCGACCTGACCCGATCGCGTATGTGGGCACCCCCTATTAGACCAGGCGCGTACACAGCTAAGCAACAGCCAGGCAACAGTTACTGTTGGGTATCGTCATTACTAACTTCCTCATTTGAAGCCATGGACTTCCACCACGCAGTTGTTGTCTGTGCTCGTGTGATTGCACTTACAAAGAAGAAAATGAAAACGCGGCTTTGGGTTAACCCTTTGACCAGTCAGAGGTTTTTAAAAGGGCATTTTGTAAAACTGCATGACGATTTGAGAGCATACCCTCCCAAGTTAAAAAAACCCAACTATTATCGTATGAGGTCTTGTTGGAGACGTCAGGCTTCTATTCAATGATAGAAATAAATTTTTAAAATCCAAGTTGGATCGCTATCCATTTTCTTTTCTTGCGGAAGTGAAACAATGTATTGTGGGTACCTCTGTCCAGTCTGTTGTGCGGAGTGAAAAAATGTAGAGAGTGGCGGGGCCTTGTCGAGTCCGGAGACAGTTTGGTTGCCTGTGTGTGCTGTGTTTCAGTTTGGTATGTAACACAGGAGATTTGAGCAATAGCTGAGTTGCGGGAAAGTTGTGACAAAATACAAACGTTTCAGTCTCCAAAAACGCGAGTTGCCTGTGCGCGCGGTGCTGATCTACTTCATTGTTTACATTTGGGCGAGGAAACAGTTGCGCAACTAAAGTTGCCCTGTGCGCACCTAGCCTTAGTAAGGCTAGGCACGCACAGGGCAACATTTTTTGTGTGTTTTACAGCGCTCGCAACTACATAAAGTCATATGAGTGCGTGGGACACATTAACATTTTCAGTTGGTAGGAATTTTTTTAACGTGCGCAACTTGCACGCGAGACTTCCTTGATTTTTTTGTCCCTTGTCCGAGAAGGCGAGGGGTAGATCTTTCCTACCGTAAGATCAGGGGTGGGGCTGAAAGACAGCAGTCTGTGCAACAGTTTTGTCGCTCAAGTGTAAACAATGAAGCTGAGAAGCACAGCTCGCACAGGTAGCTCCAGGTTCTGGCGACAGAGCAGTTCGTGATTAGTCACAACTTGCCGGAAACTGTTGCTCAAAACTTCTTTGCTAAACCGAGAAGATGCGGGCGGAGAAAACTTAGAGCTCAAACACACATGCTCCATACAGACCATACTTTTTCCGGGCCAGAAAAATTCTGTACAGAAAAGTGCGGTAATTACGTTCACACAGGGTCCGTACAGATCATACAGATTTTTCCGGTTTCAAGATAGCGCTCACGAGGAAGCGCACGGCATTTCTGCCTTGGAGGTACAAAAGAAAATCCCTAGCATCCAAACGACGTCACTGGATTCATCCAATTTGCAAATACCGGTGAGCTTTGGGAGGATTCAAATATTGTTGCCCCTAATATTTGTCGATGTTGAGAAATGTTTGGAATATTTTCGAATGACGCCAACAACATTTTATAGAGGAAATCTCTGTTGGTGCAACTTTTGTCATTTTTTTTTTATCATAAAGCGCTGTTCGATAAGCTGTGCATCGTCCACTTTGCACAACGTGCGAAGTGTGTAGCGGAGTGTGTATGCCGGCGTGTTTAGATTTATTGATGTCAACTCCCCTTTTATGTCCGCACAGACCAAAAAGTGTACGGCATGTTTGACGCAATCCAGATTTTGCGGAGGACGGAAACAATCTGGACCCAGAGGTCTAGCTGCTGTGCGCACGTCAAGCTGGGAAATATAATGTTGAACGCAAACGCACTTTCTATGTATGGTCTGTATGGAGCCTGTGTGTTTGTCCGCACCAAAAGCAGTAGCTGAGCCGAGCCGCTATGAGCAATTCCAACAGTACGCTCGAGTGTCCGCACCTAGAGCTGTTTTGGCAAGCTGTCCAGTCGCATTCAGCTCGTTGGCTGCTCGTGCGCTGCTCAGTGTCAGCTTGCATGTTCTCACCAAAAGCAGTATAAAAGCAGTGTGTACTAGCTCTCTCTGCTAGCTCGTTGTTTGTATAGGAGACTGTTCATAACATGGCGGTCCGTAAAATATGTTTGATGAATTTGATGGACACTTCATCACTATTGACAGTCCCTTGTATTTGATGGCGAGATAGAATACAAGGTTCATCCCATTAAGGCCAAAACAGACACATGCAGAGAATTCCATTACCTGTTTATTGACTGAAAGGGAGACAAAGAGCGCTTTGAGTCATATTTTAGAATAAGCCCAGAAACATTTTCTACCATTTTGGCTCTATCCATTGTTTTGTTTCTGTTTTGTTGTTCAGGCTTTCAAGAGGAGAATGTAGAAGCTGTCTCCAGCTGTCTTGAGTTGATCGAGATATCTTGGCGAGGTTTGGCGGGAAATTTCGGGTGTGCTAATTTTAGAAATGACGAAATCACTGCCAGCTTTGGGCGGTAGTAAATGTGGGAATATATTTTACTGCTCACTGCTACCAGTGCACTGCTCAATACGGCGCGGCTACTGCTTTTTGTGCGAAGGGCGTATAAATAATAATTATTACCAATGATCATGCATAACAAGATGGTCCACTCCTCTCTTAGAGCCAATTAAAAAAGTGTCCTCAAAATTCGGTGGCGCCCTCTTCGCAAATGCGCACCCTCTGCGAACAGAGTTACCCTACTTGTGTGAAAAAAAATCAAATTGAAACTAAGATGTTTTTGAATAAATAAGAATTCAACTTTCGGAAGAATGCTTTTTTAACATGGTTACGCTGACAAAAAAAAACATCTTCCAGAGGAACAGGCGACTGTTTTCTTCATTTAATTTGACTTTACATTGAGAGGCGAAAAGTCAATAAAAGATTTTAAAAACCTAAAACTCTGCACTGAACGAACCCGAACAGCTAATGAACAGCAGTCGTTCGGCGCACCCAATGAGATGCTATTCCTACTTTTCTTCTGGAGAAGAGAAAGAGAGCTTTAAAACAAAGACTGCAGCGCCATCTAAGCCATTTCGCGGACTTCCGGCGAACACTTTTTTGGCTGAGTGGACAGTCTTGTTATGTATGATCGTTGTTATTACTAAGATTTAACACGGCTGAGCTACTGCG